ATTTTACCTAAATAAAATTTCGACATGAATTACTCGCGTAATGGGCTAACAGTTCTTGCAACTGAACCTGCAAAATAATTCATCACAAACATATATACTCACAACCATATGCATTGGCTTTTCTTAGCCATAGTCACACTTTTCATACTTCCTAACTGCATACCATACTTATACATACCATAATCGTCACAACTTACACAGTTACACAACATATACACATATCATTAACTTTCCACACCTGTGGATATCTCACACTACATTCGAAGCTAGTATGCACATGAAAATGTTCTCAAAACATTTTTACAAAAAGGTGTGGATCACTGGCCAAAATCCCAAGTAGTAGTCCAAGCACAGAATAGTTGAAGACCATACCTCATCCTGGCTTCAACTCTAGCTCCTCTCCCACCTAACACTTATCTACTGCTGCTACTGATGATCTGCTTACACATAGCATAAGCAGAGAAGAAGAATAAAAGAGGGTCAGCTCATAGCTGAGTGAGATAATCATAGCATCGTGAGTTCATAACAGAGCATACCCCTATCATACATCTAACAATCAAACCAAAACACTAGGATCGGACCTCAGCCATCCTCATATCCCAATAAGCAAAAGACTCAACCACTTTGACTTATGCATATGCATCTTATCATGTTTTACTTATAGGCGCCTGGCTACTCCCATGCTAATAACTCTCCCGGGAAACATACCCCACATCCCGTCGGATGTAGTCATACATACCCCAACATCCCGTCGGATGTGGTCATACATACCCCACACCACTATGGGTGTAGTCATACCCCGACACCACTCTGGGTGTGGTCATATCTCATAAGAGTTCTTCAGTCACCACCACATGAGAGGTGTGACTATCATACATATCATAATAGAGTAATAGCATAGGGAGCCCTAATTACTATGTAATTGACCGTGAGACCACAACCCTCATATTTGGTATCCTTGTACATGATTCATATCTCATCTTGCTTAATCATAATTCATTACTTGCACATGTACTTGACCAGGCCACCATTGGCTCAACATAGGTAAATCAGGAGTCGCATAATTGCACTTCCTCGGGATAAACCCTCGTGCAAGTCATCCTGCTTAAAACATCATAATATCACCCTGGGAAGTTTATTTCCCCCACTTGTGAATCCAAATACAACCACAATATCACATCATATCAAAACACCTGATCGAACAACCATGAATTCATATCAACGGTTAAGCCACAAATGGCAACATGTATGCAATCATCAACATAAACAAGGTCCATATCGGCTAGGGCAAATCAATAATATCATACAACAGTCCAGGGTTCATCATATAACACAAAAGTCCATACACCCCTAATCATGCCATTCTAGTTCACCTAGGTCAATTCTAAGCATCAAAATAATTATCGTGATACGACAAACCCGGTATGCCGTGCTAATCCCTCACCAGTTCTGGTCGTTCAAACACCGGTTTAAGCTTCCCGTACTAAAACGTCAATTTCACGAACGAACCCCAAATTAAAATCCGAGACCGTCCTAATATCCCCTGCAGTATCCCCGTCAATATTAGTTCTAGGCTCCGGGTCAAATTCTCGATAAAAACACATCAAACCCTGGCCGGAGCTAAATTCAGCGGTTTGGACCCCGGCCTAAATAACAGCCGAAAATCAGGAATTAGAACTAGGGGATTGATTACCTCGCTGCAAGAAGCTCGTATATGAAATTTGGGCTCAATCCGGCTTCCGGATACTCCGAAACCCTAATTTGGCAGATCGGGAATTCAAGAAATTCCTGAACCAAAAACTCGTTTTAAAGCTCTAAATCGATAAATCACGATGTATAGATGAATTAGGCATTACTTACGGGATTTTTGGATCACTTATGCTCAAGAATTGAGCTCTGAGGTTTTCCCCCTCGATGCCCTGTGCGCGGTTGGTTTTCTCGGTCCAGGAATTATTTCACGGAAGAAGAAGATGATAATGGACAGGGGGGGGAGGATTAATATATATGCCGGCCGCTTAATTAATATATATATATATATATATATATAATTAATACGTATACTTATCCGATCGATCGATAATCCGATTTTCGCTGAAATAGTGTCGAAATGCTCGATTTTAAATCGCGAACTTTCTAGCGATCGAAATATGGGTTTTGCCGGAACGGGATGTTACAGGATGTAGCTATTTCTTGATTTGATGGATTGATTCGTATTTCTTTTCCTCCAATCTCTATTGCATGAAATTACTTAATGCTTTGTGTTGACTAGCCACCAATACAATGAATCATAGTTAATTAGGTTATTAGCGACAGTGAAACCCTAATAACTGAACCTATTTCATGTGACATAGTAACTTATCGAAGCGACAGTGGATTAAATAAGGTGCTATGCGGTCTTAAATAGGATATCGATCTTCAGGCTAAATAATTAAGTCATTGAGCTACGACAGTAGGATTTGATTTAATTATTTAGTACGTAGTAATTCCCGACACGGATAGCTAGCACATTCGTGATATCCTGGCTGTGGAGAGTTGGATTAAATTGATTGGAATATGTGAATTAATCTGAATAGGATAGGTAGTGAGTCCCGGTGTTTCTCCCAGAGCATTCTCCCATTGAATTTCTCCCGACCATTTTACTTTGCTTAATTAGTTTAATTATTTTGCTAGTAGTTAATAATCTCATTAAACCATTTTCACCTATAGTTTGCTATACAAAATTGATAGAACTTAAGGTTGTACCAGTCCCTGAGACACGATACCCGGACTTTCCGGTTTTACTACGAGATAGGAATTGAAGCAATACACTTTTGCCCTATCAGCGACCAAGAAAAAAAAACCGACCACCACATCCACGTCGCCACGTAAAAATACATTGCAACAACCACATACCCAAACGCTTCCTATGTAGTCCCAACAGCACCAAACCAAACAAACACAAGGACAATAAATAGAGTAGCAAGCCCTCACCAAGATACCAAGACACTAACAACCCTACAACCAACAGATGACAATAGAGCAGCATTCATTAGCCAAATCCACCGAATCAGTGTATCATTTTGGTGAAGTAAGAAGGCGAGCTCCAAAGCTAAATGGAAAATTGTAAATTGCCAATATAATTCCTCCTGCTCGCTAGAACCGACTTCAAGATCTGAATATAGATATGAAGTGTGGAAGAGGAACCATCTATGAAGAGAGATTCATGAAAAAATCCTCGGCTACCAAATGGTCCACTAGTATGCTTCGACATGAAAATACATAAAATGCTACCAAAAGCGTATCAATCATTTAAAAGCAATCCTAGTGTTAGAACACTCTTGAAACTAGGGATGGCCGATCGGTTGTCGGTTAGTGGCTGACCAGCCGGTTTAACTGATAACCACCAGTTAGCGGCTAACCAAAAACCGAAAAAACCAATGATCGGCCGATGTTCGGAGGGGGAGAGGGGTGCTTGGGTTAGCCGAGTAATTGGAGGCAGTTAACCACGGTTAACCAGCTAACCTAAACTAACCACCCTCCGCCACACAAATTTCCAAAACGACCTTGTGTCCATGTCCCACCAGTTTCCACCTCCCCCCAAAAAAATGAAAATCTAATCGACTAATCCCCTACCCCTAAATCATTGACCTCCGCCGCGCCTCCAGAAACCCTTCCCCTCGTGTTTCCTCTTCCCCTTTCTCCACCGCCTTCCTCTTTCTTCTCCCTTCTTCTTCCAGCCCATTAATTCCATCTCCAATTCTCAGCTATGCCTTGAAGATGGAAGTCATCTGATTTCGACGAAGCAGCCAACAAAGAACAGAGAGGAAGCAGAAGGGTCTGGATGCGACGGCGGCAACTTGCTCTGCATAAAAAAGCACAGATCCGGACCTTCTTTAGCTCCGCACAACCACCACTCTTCTCCTTCTCCGACTTCTGGTTGCGGTGGGAGGATTTATAGAGGCGGCAGGGCTGGTGGGTGCGGTCGGAGGATTGGTAGCGGCGGCAGAGGTTGAGTGCGGATGCGGCAGCAGCATATCCATAATCGGATGAGAGAAGAAGAGGAAGTTGAAGGGTGCGGCGTGTACCTTTGATTTGCGTTGGAGCCTTGGAGGAGATGTGGAGAGATGAAGAGTCGTATAATTTTCCACTCCCGGTCTCCCTTTAATTTTCTAGATTTTTTTAATGTAATTAAATAAAATCTATGTTAACTGAGGTTGTAACCATTAACTGCCCGGTCGGTGCCGCGGTTAACCGCATCATGTTATCGGTAGGGATGGCAATCAAACCCATGGCCGTGGGTATCTGACCGCCCCTCGACCCAGTCAATGCGGGGATCCCCGCTTTGACCGGGTATGGGGCGGATATGGGTAAATCCCGCAAAAAATTTGATGGGTATGAGGCGAGTATGGTTTTAGCCTCCCCCGCCCCATACCCATCCCCATACCCGCCCCACCAAGATAATTTCTTCATATATAAAAAAATAGGCTTAATTGCAAGTTTGGTCACTCGAATTGCTATAAAATTTCACGTTTGCCACTCAAATTAATTTATTCTATTTATAGTCACTCGAATTAGTTGAACAGTTCAAGTTCGGTCACTCTCCGTTAACCTCCGTTAACTTTGACTGACGTGGCGGTCAACTCTGACAGTTGACCGTTAAATGTGTGACGTGGCAAATAAAAAATAATTAAAAAATAAAAATTAAATTTTTAGAAATTACACATCATTATAAAAAAATTATAATTATAAAAAATAAAAAAAAAGAAATTATAAAAAAAAGAAACACCGAGTGTACCGGCGCTTTCCCTCATCTCGCAACTCTCCTTCTTGTTCTTCTGCAAACGCAGCTGATCGCCGGCGACCTGCTGTCGCCGATTCACCCTGATTCGATATGGTCTCAGGCCCAATCCGAGTAACCCACGGACTACCGGCAAAAATATAAACAGCCAGCGGCGCGTCCGCAAAAACAGAGTGATACTTAACTTTATCGGCAAGAAATCAAGATTCTCGCCATAGCTGCAATGGCGAAGGATTCAATGGTTGGAGAAATCCGTAGTCCATGGGCTGATCTTCACCCCGAGCTGTTGAATTTAATCTACGAGAAACTGCCTCCCTCCCCCACCACCCTGAGCTCAGGATTTGGTTCCGTATGCAAGCCCTGGCCCCAATTCCACGCCGCCGTTCCCCTGCCAACGCGGCATCCTTCCTACTGCCCGAGGAAATTCCTCCTCTACACGACCGTCGACGCCATCCCGGACGCCATGATTCGTCACCAATTGCAGGACGCGTACATCGCCTACAGCTGGCCGAGCAACGGGTGGCTGATGCTGCGGCATTCACACAACGTTCAGATCTTCGGTTGCTTCAATCCCCTGCTCTCCTGGCCGCGGAACTACATCGCACTCCCTGAAGGTTCCAATTCGCCGTGGCCGCGGCAGATGAAGGCGGCTTTCTCGAGCGATCCTGCAGGCCCCGAGGACTGGACCATCCTAGTCGCGGGAGAGCAGGGGTATGGTTTCAGCACGTTTCACCGCGGCGATGCCGCCTGGAAGAATTACCGCCGCCGGTACCACTGGGCCATCAAGTACGCAGGGTATTACGTCGCGATCGGGTTCAGAGACGGCGAGTTCTTCTGCCTGTTCGGCAGCGGAGACGTCCTGATTTTCGGAATTGGGGAAGGCGGTGAGCGGAGGGTGCTGGTGGCGGATCCCCTTCCGGCGCCGCTGCGGGATCTTCACAACCTACGAATTGTGGAGAGAGGAGAGACGGCGTGTGTGGTGGCGAATTGGAAGCAAGTTGCGGATAGGCACGGCGGCGGACGGAGGTGGCGGCTGGGGAGAGTGGAGAGGAGAAGGAAGGAAGAAGTCGAGAGAATGGTGGGAGCAATGGACAGAGAAAGGAGGTGGAATTTGGGTAAAAACTCTTTATAATGATGTGTAATTTCTAAAAATTTAATTTTTTTAATTATTTTTTATTTGCCACGTCACACATTTAACGGTCAACTGTCAGAGTTGACCGCCACGTCAGTCAAAGTTAACGGAGGTTAACGGAGAGTGACCGAACTTGAACTGTTCAACTAATTCGAGTGACTATAAATGGAATAAATTAATTTGAGTGGCAAACGTGAAATTTTATAGCAATTCGAGTGACCAAACTTGCAATTAAGCCAAAAAAATATATGCATCAAATTATAATCTATCAATGATGATGAGGATAACTTGAGAAAATAAATAGTAGAAATGCAATTGAGTGACCACCTTAATCAAAATCTAATTCATTTCTCTCAATTCTCATCTCACTCTTTCACTTTCCCCCTTGTCAACAAGATTATGTTAGTTAATTATTATTTAGTAGATGTATCATAGTTAGAACATAATAATTTGAAAAATATTATACTCTATATTATGTATTAATGGATATTTTAGGATCATAATCTTTGAACCATATTAAAAAAATGACCGTGTTTTGTTGACTTCATGATATAATATGTTCGTTTAGAGTTATAATTAGAACTTTTCTTGCAAGTTTTAGATATAATAATGTTGTATTACGGGTATGGGTATTACCCATGGGTACCCGAAACCCACGGGTATGGGGATGGGTTTGCAAAACATTCCCTGCATGGGTATGGGGCGGGTATGAGTTTGGATATTTGAAGAAGGGTATGAGGATGGTTTAAGCAAACCCGCCCCATTGCCATCTCTATTTATCGGTCGGTGGTCGGTAGCGTAGTAAGGCTTGTCGGATAACCGAAAACTAAAATATCGATTATCGGTTAACCCAAACCGACCGAAATCGAACCCTACTGGAAGCAATCATGACATAATTTCAAGGTATTATGACACTAATAATGAGAAATATATACACTTTGTATCACAATACGGGCGTATAGAATAAATACTTTCACGTGCCATCAATTATTTTTCTAGAAGTGTCATTAGTCATGAAACTGATCCCATCTATTGGAAAAACTCATAATTGCACTGGTCTATTTTGAAGTTGTCGGAACTAATCCAACTCATTGTGTTTTTTGTTAACTACATCAAGTAATTGACCCAAACATCTATCTAAGCGACAATTAAGACCGCCAATTTGAGAGTTTACATGTTAAGAATCAACCTTAGCCTCCATTATCATGCATCCGTTCTCCACTATCATTTGGAAGTTTTCCTTTTTGGTTTGATGTTCTTTGCCACCAACTTGCAATTTTTCTCTATCATCTGGCGAAGAGACAAGACAACTTCCATAGCACAAAACCAATTAGTGATAACTGTAAGAGATAGTGAGGGAAGAGATTAATGAGTTTTGATCGTCATTCCTCAGGTAGCTTTAGTATTCAAATTAAGGCCTAGCTGAGTTAATCAAGCCTAGTGAAATGGTTCAGGCTTGAATGGTTGTATCAACTTCCTTCCTTGGCTGTTCCGTCTACCACAGAATAAAGTACCTGCAGTTAATGCAATCAAAATCATGATTTTACGTGAAATCCAAAATTGAGGTAAAATCGTAAACATGGATTAAAATAGTAAAATTATAAGATTTTAAAGTTCATATTAAAATTAACACGTAAAGCACCGAATATTAATAACAAATAACAATGAATCACATATCACTTGATTACTTTTCAAAATACGTTTTCTGCTAAATATACACAAATAAATCCATAGATTAGTTCTTGTACATAACACAAACACACAATTAAGCAACCTAAAACCTCATAGAAATAAATTAATCTGGTTAATAGGTAAGAGTAAAAACTCACATAAGACCTTTAGGATCAGCATTAAAATATAATTCCTCAACATCCTCATCTCAACCTCACCCTCATAGAATAATTGTCTATTTGATTGAACAATGATATCATTATTCTTAGGATCACTTGAAATACTTTTAGCACCAACCATATTTCCTTGATCACCATCATCTGGAAAAGTTAAATTGATTGATGCATTCCCTTCTTGATCGAATGAAGTTCGAGGATGGTGACGTTGATGGTTTGGGCGATGAACAAAAGCTTGCAAGGGGATGGGGTTGGGCTAATTGCGAGGGTGATCGGGAAACAAATAATGAGCTAATTGGGAGGGTGATGAGACAATTTTTGATGGAAGGATTTGGAAGCTTTAGCGTGTGGGAGAGGAAGAGATTAGGGAGAGAAAAAATCAATTGAGTGTCTCCTATCGGGTTAGGTTTGTGTTGTCCATGATGTTGGGTCGGGGAAAAGTGAACTTGATCCAATTCGTTGCCAAAATATTACCCGACCAACCTGATTTTGCTCCAATTGACACGAACATTGAAATTGTGAAAAAATGTATAAATTGTAGATTTTAAGGATTTTAGAGTTTTAAATTGATATTTTATGTGATTTTAAGGTTTAAATATTTTATAGTAAAATCATGATCAGAACCCATACGAAAGATTGTAAAATCGTCGAGAGTTTGACTACAGTAGCTGCAGTAGATTAAAACAGAGCAAGCAAATGTAAGGAATTAAACATGGAATTATGGTTTTTTGTTCACCGATTTTGTATATTGCTTACATCTGGACTCAAAGGTGGCTCAATCATTGAGACCTAGCTGTCTAGACTTTTATCTTATTCATGTCTTACTCAAAGTTGAGTTTGTTTAAGGGAACTCAAACTCATGACAAGAATAGAAAAATATAAAATCTTCTATCCTCCTCACAAGCTCATACTAATGAAAGAACCTACACAAGCTCACAACACTCCAGCAAGACGAAGAATGAACACTTAAAACCTCACACCTTAATCGTTGAGTAATTGTCCTTACTAAGTGTATGATTGCTCTGCCACATTTCGTAAGCTTATCTTGTTTCTGTCCTCTATTTATACTGCTTTTCTTGTCAAAAACCTTCTCTTGATCTTCATTTGATTCGAGAATCCTTTCCTACATCACAAGTCTCCAACGATGGCAAGTAAAAGAGATTAGAGCCATTCGCTCTTGTGGCTGAGCTCTTGTGTTCCCTTTAGCTATGCTCTTGACCCCGACTTGTCCCAAATCTAGTCCTCTTCACTCCGACTGGCCCACCTTCCAGTCTCATGCAGTCCGCGCACACCGGTAACATCGTTCTCCTTATCCTTCCCTCTTCTTCATTGAGGGCAATGTCGAACTTAAGTGTGGGGGGATGTTTCTATTTTAACTACTTAGATCTGTTTGTGTGCTTGGAGCCTAGTCCACTGTCCAAATTTCGATTTGGTGCTCCAAGTACGTGTTCCTTGCAAATTGCCTGCTCAGTATGCTTTGAATTGACAGTCTCTATAGTAATGTGCAACCTAGGAAGGTAGTGTAGCACTATGGAGGATGTTGAAGTATAAGATTTTTTCCTATCTAGCTCTCTGCTGTGCTGGTTGATTTTGTGAATTAGTGGAGTTAAGATCGTTGAATTCATGTGTTAATGGTGACTCCTTTTGAATTGTGTGTGGACTCGTGTATCGAATAGGGTGATCATGTGGGAAATGTAAAGCAGTTGGTCCTCCATGTCTAAATCATTGAAATCTTAAACATGGGGTAAGCCAAACTTGTGTGGCACCGTTAATTGCACAAAATAGGGTTTTGGAAGAGATTTTCGTGATCCTTAGTGGGGTACTCCTACAAGGTGAAGCTAAGTTGTCTCTAGTACGAGTAAAATTTTCACCCGATGAACGGTTTGCCTACTCGAGAATGTGTTTTTAAGGGCACGTATAGAGCTTCCGACCCTCCTTAATTTCATTGACCCTCCACACGAGTTGAGGAAAATGAGTTAAAAGAAGTACTCTGGGGAGTGCCACATGTACAGAAATTGCTCTTGCTCGACTAATAAGGGTCGACCGTACAAAAGACTGTAGTTGGAACCCCAGCCAAGTGAAGAAAAAAAAGAGGAAAAAAAAATGAAATGTAAAATGAAAGTGAAAAAGGGGTTCCAACGGTGGAATGAAGTGAAAGAGCACCCCGGTACAATGAGTCCTTGGTTGTGAATGGTGCGAGTCCCTTTACCCATGAACTGGCTGTCTTACCTCCATTTCTTCTCATGATCCTGGCTTGAGTCTAGTACTCGCATTGAGAGAGATAGGAGACGTCTTAGAAGACCAGTTGACCTCGTAAGCTGCTATATGGTCTAGGAAATCCTCTACTGACGATCGGGGTTGTTTGTTGCTATAGAGGTCTGGAGAGCTGCATTGGTTTGAGTTAGGTTTGCTTGGGGACAAGCAAACGGTTAAGTGTGGGGGAATTTGATAGACCATTGATTGCACATGTTTTTACCTCCATTCTTGAGCCGTTTGAGAGTCGATTCTCGTGTTTTAAGCCGATCTCACGCTAGGTTGTGTGTTTATGTCATATTTCAGGGCTTGGCGTTGACGTGAACGCGAGGAAACGAGTTTCGGGTCAAAAGGATGACGTTTGAGTTGAAGGGTGCTGGAGTAGCAAATTACCCGGCCATGAGTAATAATACCCGGACAGGTAAATCGCTAAGAGAGGCCGGGGAAAATCGATTTTGGATGTCGATAAATAGGAAGGGTCCCGACCGGACAGCTTAAATACCCGATCGCGTATTCTGGACCTCGATGGGTATTAACCCTTTACCGCGGCGTTGTGTTTCAAAATCCCCGGCCGGGCACCTGAAGTACCCGACCGGGTATTATGGTCGTGGATCGCGAACACCTGGATTTTAAGGGAAAGGAGGCCAATTTTGCAAGGGTTCCGAGTTTTAGAGAGACAAAGCTGATACCTAGAGAGAGAAAGTGACGAACTTGATTGCCCAAGTGTTCTAGATCGATCTTCATTAGCATTAGAGCCCAGCTTGAGCTTGGAGAAGTGCTGATTGATTGCCAGAAGCAGAATCCCATCCTTCACAGTATGCTTTCCGAGTCTGAGCTAGATTTCTCATATCTTTCTATGGAGTAACTTTCTCATTCACCTGGGTATGAAGAACCCTAGAT